TCGTTTATTTTACCATTGTACATAATTGCTGCAATCGTAGAGAGAGGGAGAGTAGCAGAAGAGGTTATTGGGAGAGGGAGAGAGAGGAGAGAAAAGAGCTAGTCCGTGTAGAGCAGAGACGGGTGGTGCGGCGGTTAGGGCAGTTTGCCGTAGAGTGAGGAGAGAGAGTAGTAGAGAATGCATGAATTGAATGAATGATGATATGAATGAATGAATGAATTATCGAAACCGAAGCTCGCCGCCCCGCGACTTTCCGGTTGTGGGGGTTGAGGGTGAGTGAATCCGCCGGGCAGGTGTGTGTTTATGCGAAGTTTTTTATTCGACCATTCCCGACCGCAAGACTTCTGAAGCCCTAAATAAGGCTCGTGGCGCTGTGTTGCCGCTTAGTGTAACTTCATGGGCGCGGGCCGTTCGTTTCGTGTTTGCGCCCTAAATTACCGCTGTGTTATAGTTATACATATGTGGTATATTGACTACTAGTGGATTATCGGATACTTTCCATAGTAGTAGATACGGATCATTGATCAGTTATTTCCCGCTTGGGGATCGATTGATGCGTACACGTACTTATACCGTTATTGTTTTTCCCGGTCATGAGATTTAGTCGTTGCAAAGGTTCGTTAAATATGTTCGTCGGGTTTTTGTTCATAACCGTTGTCAGTATATATATAGGATTTACGACCACACAAACAGAGAATGAATATAAAATCTTGCCGGTGCTGAATTTGTTTTACTGAGGTCTCCCCGAGACTTATCTCCGCCACCGTCACCACGCTTCACGTAAATATTTCACCCCTCACCTGGTCAGTGCGGAGATCCGCCCCAGGCCCCGTACCCGGAGCGTAGCCGCTTCTAAAAAAAAATTATAACTTCAATGTCTTTCTCGTAGTTAGACCACCCGTAAAGACTCCCCTTTATTTCTCTCGTATAAACAACAGACCGCGTTAGTCGGTCCCGGACCTGACCCTGTTATTTAGTCACGCCGGCCCTTCTTGGGGTCGGGTCGGTGATGGACAAAAGACACCGGGTAAAACCGACCTAATAAACAGTAATAATTCCGTCGCAACGACCGGGTATCACTATCGGGAGGGATCAAAGTTTAGATGTGGGGTTTTTGATTTTGGTATACCTCCTAACCCGAATGAAAATTTTTTTTCCCGTTAGATCATCCTTGGACAGTTCACACTGTGTATACAATTCACCCGCCCAGCACCTTGAGGTTGGAGGATCCCCCTTCGTACGAGGGCCGGCATTCTAAAAAAATTTACGACCTCGATTTCACACCATTATGTGAAAAACAATCAGCGTACCTTTGAGATTGTACGTCGGCTATCGTTACTATAGGCAATTCACGAAACTGTTTTTTAGGTATTTTTTCTTACGTAGCCCTTTGGGCGATTATGACATTTTTTTGTGTTGGTTAGGGCATCGGGCGTGCTTTTGCTAACCTACTGGCGGGACAAGACAGTCCGGAGGTAAGAGCACGTGCGGTGGTTGATCAGGTTATTGGTTATGTTCACATACTTATTTGATTAATAAAATGCAAACCGATCTTTTTCATATGGGTGTTTAGAGTTGTACCCCCTAGATCTAGTCTCTAGTAATTAGGCGCTCAAAGTGCACCAGATTGAAGCATTTTACTTTAAAATGTTAAAACGTAATCCTACGTAGCCTAGATTATCAGATACAATACGGATTACTTTCCATTACTTTAAAATGACTAGCTTCCGTTTACGAGATGGGCAGACTCACAAATCTCCACCTCGTTTGTCAGGAAAGAAGAGACCACCAGAGACGAGAGGAAATTAAACTTGAATTACTTACTGGGTTGTAAAACGGTGTCTGATTGTAAGCCATTGTCCCAAATTGTAAATGTACAGGACTCCAAATTGGCTGTGTTCTGCGGATGCGGACAAAATGGGAGACTTTTACAAGTACAATCTCTTTTACTGCACAGTTAGGTTTCGATTTCCCTTCAGTAGGTAGCGTTTACAGTTTAACTTCACCCCCAGGTCTGAGCCAACCCCTCCCACTGAAAATCTTTGAACAAAAACAAATAAAAAAGTGCATAGACAGTGTTATTTTTAAAGGTTCATGAAAGTCAAAATTCTAATTTGTAACCAGAAGTAATGTATTTCCAATAAATTCCTGTAATGTCAACTACTATGATCATTGCTTCCATGTCCTTTCCCCCTCATATTTTAACATCTTTTTTCGAAGTGTGGGCTTTTTGGTTTTAAAAAGTATTCTTTAGACACAGAAATCTCAATAAAATGAACATAACCGCTATAAGCACTCATTCCTACCTATGTCGATTAAGCTTCTTAACATTTACATGAAATGAAGTGTAGTCAAATGTAATGAAATGTACTTTTTAAATGTTGGCCATGAGGGTTGTGCAATAGGTCGCCATTGTCAGTATGTGCGTCTGTGTATTGTGTTTGTTCAAACGGTGTATGACTGATGATATGTGTATGTCTCTTAATGTCCACTATGTTTGTATATGTACATGTATGCGGAACTGCCCGACGGAGTCCAGAGCACATTTCCTTACGGGGACCATAAAGTATATCGTATCGTATAATAAAGACCCACCTGCCATTCGACTAGACTTCTTGATATACAAAAACATCAAGGAAGTGACTGATAATTTGCAAGTAGTACAAAGTTGAGCCAGAGCTAAATATAAAACAGACAGCGTGTAAACTGCTTTAATGTTGTGTGAAGGTGTCATTATCTGCATGTCAATATCATTTCACATGCCCCTTTTACAGTAGACTGATTGCTACTGTGTCCTACCACCAGGTACTTTCTACTGGCTTTATCAAATATTTTTTCACCAAGCTAGTGTTTTGCATGTTTCTTTACGAGTTTATATTATCTGATTGTTGGCCTAGCGTAGAGACGGTTTGAAAGTTGCTGCAGGACACCACAGGATGTGAGAAAAGGAAGTGAGTCATGTCACTGAACTCTCCTTAGTATGGTCTTCTTTGGATAAACACAGAACCCAGTTTTACAGGTTACAGTTTTATTGCCAGTAAATATGACATAATGGGTCAATCGTTTTGATGATATTGCTAACATTATGATATGTTTGGAGAGTTAATTCACTTTGGGGGATAAGCAATAAAAGGCATTAAATAAATGAAATACAAAGCTATCTGCCAGCAAGGCTTATATAAAACTTAAGGATGTTCTAAATGTGATGTACTGTATAGCTGAATATATTTCACTTATGTAACTTATGTAACATTTTGAATGATGTTATTTGAATTTGCAAGGGAACATTTGACAGTATGGCATAAGGTCAGAGAAGTTAATGAATGACCTCACCGGAGTGATTTTATAGGTTTCGATTGTGTGTGTGTGTGTGTGTGTGTGTGTGTGTGTGTGTGTGTGTGTGTGTGTGTGTGTGTGTGTGTGTGGTCATACCACGGGTGAAAGTCAAGGACTTTTAGTTAGTAAGACTTCATAAATGTCAATTGCCCTGTGTCCTGACAAAGAGTGGATAATAATACACAATGGTAACCACGAGTCTGACCCTGCAAACCTTATTAATGCTTTGGTGTTCAATACTTCTGCTTTTTGAACACACCTGATACCTAAATGGTCCTCTTACATCCGCTATCGGAATTGTTGTAGAAGGAAGAGGCCTTGCTACTGGGGCCTTAATGATATCACGGTTAAAAAACATTTCCCTTTCGACTCCTCTCAGCTGGATTTTAGCCGCTGCAAGGAACCATGTTTACCAAGTTGGATAAATAAAACGCCTTTAACTTGGTCTGAATCCCGTATGGCGATGAGTTAAAGACAACATTCAACACTTCAGGACAATATTGAAATTTGGTGAAGCTTCCGGCTTCCTTTTTTTTTTTTAAAGCTCTTGTTTTAAATCTTGAATTTATCAGTTTTTCTCTTAGTTTTATTTGTTATATTTCAAGGCTTTATTGTCATGTCCCAGGCTTCTCCAACAATGCAACATGAATATATATAGGACAAAAAACTAATTAAACCAATCAGAAATAGTTAATTAAATAACAATACATGTTTTTATGTGGGTTATACTCTTAAGTTCTATCGCCATTATTTTCTGATACATAGCATTGATTGTAATACAAGAAGAAGCACAAAGAGTACTGGAAAGAGGCTTTAATGTCTTCAATTGTTCAGACCTTAAGCTTACAATGTATCGTCACATCCTGTACAAAAATACTCAGAAAACCAACACCCTCAACACATTCAACCACAACCCTCAAAAGAAGAACACCAATATACAAAGAGTTGACACAGTCTTTACAAATCTAAAATTCTCTATACAGTACCAATTAAAATGCTCTGAAATTGAAACCCTTTTACAAACACAGTAAATTAAATACAACCTCAATCACTGTATATACATATATATGTATAACGTCACGGTTTGATCATTTTCACGATCATAAAGCCCCCATTACATAAAGCAAGTGTATATTGTTATCCTGCCAGAGGAAACAACATGCACGTACGCAAGCATGCACACACACACACACACACACAACTACGACACACACACACACACACACACACACACACACACACACACACACACACACACACACACACACACACACACACACACACACACACACACACACACGATGCATTGCAGAGTGCACTCATGGGAGGAAAATACTAAAACCTGTGGCAAATTACTTTATTGATTCAAGTTTTGTCCGCAGCTAATTGTTTTCCTGTGGAATCAAAGTAAGACTGAACAAATAGCTCTCATGAAATCTCAGTGTGGGAGGTATCACTTGCCATCTGATCCATAAAGTGGTGCAGGAATTAGTCCTAAAACCCTGAAATGAGTTAGCATTTTACCCCTTCCGATTCCCTCGTCTCAAAGTCAATGTTTTTTCTGAACGCTTTTGTGGTTAGAGGCCTGAGATGAGGTCTGTGGGGAACACAAGCTTAAGAGATGTTATCGTTTTGTCCTTCGGAATAAAGTACATCAGGAAAAACTCCACTGGTGAAAGTCCGAAGCTTCTGTGTCATAAAAACTGTGGTTGCTAACAAGTGGCTAAATGATGCTAACTGCTGGGTCAGCCAACAGAAATGACCTCATCTCTGCACCACTCTATAGATGACGCATAATGTATGAAACAGCAAGTCATGTGACAGTTGTATCTGTTTGTTAGAGAATGTTAAAGCTGCCCAACATACAGTCATTTATGAGCATCCAATCATTAAGGCCTGAATCTAAAGTTTCAAGCGTCATGTCAAGTATTTTTGATGTTCAGCATAAGGTAATGTTTCAATATAGTTTAATATTTTCGGGGAGTACCCATTTCCAAGGAAAGTTACTATCTACTGTAGTGGTACCTCACTAAATGCTAATATCATGCGCACAATGACAATGCTAAGATGCTAGTGTCTAGCCAGAATGTTGCATGTTTACCATCTTAGTTTGGTTAGCTGATGCTGATGGGGCTGCCATTAAATCTGCAGATATTTGGTCATAAAGTATTGGGGAAACTGGATGATGGTGCTACATAAATAGTCAGCTAATGAAGAAAGTTTTATTAATTCATCATCTGGGGACCATGAATATCTGAGAAAGTGTCATTGCATCTCAGAGTGGTTAAGACATTAAAGTATGGTCGCTATTACTGGACTCCGATTTCTGGAGAATGTATTCTGGTCACTGTGGATTCCCCAATGCCAGTTTCCAAAGGAAGTCGTTTTAGTGCAGTCTCAGAGAGGGATCCAATTTGTCTAAAACCTTAATAATAAACGTAACTTAACGGAAAGATATTTACCTTATAGGTAAATGGGGGAAAAAAGGTGAACCAACCCTTTTTATCTTTTCTTCTCAAACAATTAGAACTCGATGCAATGAAGTGAACTGTTCTAATGTGTACGGTAATCTGAGTGTATGTAAGTCACTTTAAAACATAAAAAAGCTAAATGAAGTGAATTGTATTGCATAAAGCAGCTTGTGGTTGAACCGTGGGAGGCACCAGCTGGTACATAGGTTAACAAAGGAAACACTGAGAATGTAGCAGCTAATGTGACGTGAAAGTGATCTTCATGATATGACAAGATATCCACGAACGATGTGTGCGACAATTATTTTGTACATTTGAAGTTGAATAAGCCTACAAAGAGTACAGAAGGGGATCTTACAGATGTTCCCTCCCTCTGTCAAATGACCCTCCCCCTGCTAACAGACTGCCATCATGGCCTGCATATTGAGATTGAATCACATGTACGCAAAGTCATGATAACAATCATCACAGATATTAGTCGCACATTAACAGCAGGACGTGATGGAAACTGTTCTTTTAAATAATATTGATAACATTTGCTCAAGCCAATATAATGTTTTGGTAAGCCTCAGCTGCTGAATTTGTTCATGTATGTTCGGTGTGCGTGCAGACCCTGAGGGCACTGATCTCTCAGGCAGTGATGATGATCCCAAGGCCTTCAGTAGAAGAAGAAGGCAGAGATAAGAAGAAGTGGAAACAAAGGGAAACATAGAGGATGGTGAAAAGCGTGCGGGAGTGGAGATCAGACCCAACAGGAACAGAGGAGGGGGATCGGTCAGCACCCAGAGGAGAAGAAAGCACAAAGAGAGGGTAAAGGAGAGGAGAAAAATCAGGAAAACAATAGAGGACAGAACTGCTGACTGTGAGAAATATTATCAGTGGCAAAAGCAGATGAAGGAAGCATAGAGGTCATTGCAGGTCACCCTTGAAAAAGAGATCTTTTGATCTCAAGGGGCTTTCACCTGGTTAAATAAAGGCTACAAACAATAGAGGGATCAAAAAATCCCACCAGGCATAGCAAAAATACTATTTCCTAAAAATACAATATACCGGCACTTGGTTCCTTCCAAATCTGGCCTGCGGTCCCATTAAGAGTGTCTTCCCCTCTATCTTCCTCTTGCAAATCTATCCCTCTAATAAAGGCTAAACCGGCCCAAAAATAATCTGTATAAAAAAAAAAATGAGAAAAGGTCATTTATATGACTTAATACTCAGCAGGGCAGCTTCATAATATTCATATTTCTTTACAAAATCTTTTGAGCTCCATCTTTTTACTGCTTACAAAATGTAGACGACAACAATCAAACGATGAAGACTCCCTTTTTTTGGATGTTTTTGTGTTGTAGGTCGGTCCACCCTGGAATTGTTCTCTGATACCTACTCAGGGGTCTTCCAAAAGTGTCCGGGGTGAGACAGCCTGCGGTTGAGTTTGGGCAGCTTCTCCAGCATGTCTGCCAGCTGGGTGAAGGAGGGCCTGCCGTCCACCTCGGGGGACCAGCAGGCGCTCAGGATCTCCTGTTGGGAGAGGAGGGGGGTTCATACATGTGTTAATACCCTCACTGTGCAGAAACACAGATATAAGTGTATTCCCTACAAGCCAGCTATATTTAAAATGTAGGAAAGATAAATCTAGATTTAAAAAAATGGTGCATAACTTGTTTGTTTATGTTTATGGCTTACACATTTGTATAAAAGACTCTCTCTGCTTTGTGCTGTGTACTATTACGATGTGTGATAATAATTATGGAGGGGGGCAAAAAGATAAAAACCTCACTTCTGTATGTAGCACACAATATTTTTGGCTTATTGAAAGCTATTGGTAAAGAAAAAGCTTTATGGTTTATTTTAAGTCACTTTGGATTAAAGTGTCAGCTAAATGAAATGCAATGATGTAAAGTAAAACATACCAGATCATCATTCAGTAACTTGACGAACAATCTAACCAGACTCACCGTGACCTCCTTGCCCAGGTTGGCCACTGCCAGCACCCCCCTGATGCCCTCCCCGCTGCCCACCAACCAGATCTTGGCCTCCACAGGCTGGCTGCTCATTGGCCAGTCGCCCGCCTGCAGCTCATACCAGATTGTGCTGAAAACACGAAAAGGACATAAGAAAAACGATGGTGCGAGTGGAACCACCTCTAGACTCTAAGCAAATATGCCAAGAGGTGCATAAAACTCCAGGAAAAAACATTACAAAAAGTATACAAAAAGGGCTAACAGTTGAAGAAAAATGTCAGACTGAAGTAGGGCTGTGCAATTAATCGTATTTTAATCTCGATTACGATTGAACCTCGTCAAACTGGAGCCTCTTAGCTACTTCCGGTTTCCAGACAGGGGTTACCAAAATAAGAGTACAGGTTGTGAGTTAGTTATCATATTTATATATGTTTAGTAGGTTTTGGAAGTGCGCTCCAAAATATTTGTTTATCTTCTTTATTGTTATTTATTATTTTGATATTATTTATTTAAATGTAGATATAAATGTATAATTTTATTTTTGTATTGGTTTTTCAGTTGAATTATACTTAAAGTTCAGGGTATTCAACTGTTAAAAACATACTGTTCAAATTATTATTTTAATTTGTTTTAAAGTTCAATAAATTGATGTTTTCAAAGTCAATGAGTAATCGTATTTAATAATCGTGATATCAATATTGACCAGAAATAATCGTGATTAGGATTTTTGCCATAATCACACAGCCCTAATTGTTTGTGTGAGTAATTGTCTTTTCTATTATCCCATTTGCACTTATCCACTGTATACATATTGCAGCTATCCAGTAACAAAACAGCCAAATGCAACCTAGAAGCATTAGAGATCCTCAAACCACCTCAGGGGGTTACCCTAAATGCTCCCGGAGACATGACTCGGATATGTGATATGTGCGAGGGTAGGCCATGAGGCAAATCCACTCTCATGCATCATATGTAGACCCCACTGTCTGCCAGGGTCATCACTAACACAATCAGAGAGGGCAGAAGCCTTGATATTTAACTCCATAGCTTCTCTCAGATGGTATGAGCTAAATTACTGAATTACAAATGCGTTTTCTGTCTCTGTAGGAGAGAATGCTTCTCTACACCTCACCCTCACATCGCCCATCCTTTGTTCTTATCTCTTCTTCCTCACATGATGGCCACAGGAAGGAATTGGAATGTGCTGCATGTGCATATACAGAGGCATGAATGCTAGAAAATACTTGCTTAGAGGGCCTAGTGTTGCTTATCTTTTTCTCGCTGAACAAGGAAGAGGTGTTCCCCGGCGGATTATTCCTTTTAATTTGCATAACAAATGGTTTTTCTTTTCTTTCTTGAAGCACTGCAGGTCTTTGTCTGTAATCTAAATTGGAGGTGAGGGTTGTCTGAGTGTGGAACATGGAGGGTAGCATTGTCAGACGAGGTGAACAATACAGGAGCACGCCCTTTAAAGAGGCTTAAGTCGAATCAGGTACAGACTGGCATACATTAATGTTATAAATGACGACATATTTTATACTGGCAAGTGTGTGTTCCACCTCTGCTATATTGCAAAGAATGCAATTATTTTCTTTCTTTATAATATTTGTACGGTACATAACATTTTGATCAGATTTTTTTTTTCTTTTTAAGGAGGTCCTATTATTTCCTCTTGGGTTTTCCCTTTTCTTTAGTGTGTCATATAGGTTTTTGAACATGAAATGGTAAGCAAAGGCTAAAATCCAAAAGCTTCTCCCCCCTGCCTGAAACAACTACATTTTAAGATAACGTAAGATATTGACATCACTACTTAACAATTGCACTTCTATTGGAATGCACTCAAACATATAATATGGTAAATGGCGGGACATCTCTAAGCAGTTGACCAATCACAACAGAGCCGGCCAGCTAACCAAAAAGAGCAGACTGGGCTCTGGTTTCATATGGAGGGTGAAAAATGGTGCTGCAGTACAGTTTTTGAACATAAAAGCATGGAGACATGTTTTTAGTAAGTTTCACCTTTTATCTTGAATGCAAGCAAATATGTGATACACAATACACATATTAACAACATGAGTGCTCAATTGTTAACTATCATTTGAACATGGTTTAACATAACAGCATACATGTTTTTCAATAATATAATGACAATGACAATCTGTTGAAATCAGACATGACTTCTGTTACTTAAAATAGACTTCAGTGGCTGCATGCCAAAGAAAGTTGTTTGGTGTGACAGTCAGTGCACGTAGAAGCATGGTAATGATCATGTTTGCATGTTTTCTGCAGAAAGGTAGACTGTGTGTGTGTGTGTGTGTGTGTGTGTGTGTGTGTGTGTGTGTGTGTGTGTGTGTGTGTGTGTGTGTGTGTGTNGTTTTTTTTTGCTAAATCTGTCTAAAAATGTCAAATATCACTTGTTTTGCATCAATCTTGATACAGGGTACTTATTATATGTTGTACTTTGGATTCCTAAAGCTTTAGGAATCCAAAGTACAACATATAATAAGTACCCTGTATCAAGATTGATGCAAAACAAGTGATATTTGACATTTTTAGACAGATTTAGCAAAAAAAAACCTCTTCTGGGGCCATTTGGGTGGATTTTCCATATCTCTGGCCCCCCTTGCTGGTATAACGTTAATCTGGTATAACACATTAATAGGTTCTTAAATATTAAGATCCCCTGAGACACAGTGTTGTGAAAAAAAACCAGGGTCCCCGCCGGTGGGGACCTTGGGGTTTAACAGGTTAAGGACCGAATTATGGGGCTATTATTCTAATAAGGGTAGTTTATTTAGTTCAAAGAAAATTACCCACCGATTTATGTTAGTCAATGGGAAAAAGTTGTTTTGGGCCGGGTGACGGAAGTTGCAGTACCGCCGTTTGGACACAACGGCCGTGGGTGTTTCTCAATGTCGAGGACGCTTGCTTGGTAGCACATGTACCTCCGAGTCACTTGCTTCAGAAGCGAGGCAAGAATCCTTCCTAGCCTCGGAAAACGAAGAATTGTGGAACAGGCTAACAATCGCGCTCCTTTTAAGGCGGTGCCTCGCATCTGACGCACACCTGCCTGTTCCACAATTCTTCGTTTTCCGAGGCTAGGAAGTATTCTTGCCTGGCTTCTGAAGCAGGTGGCTCTGAAGACATGTGCTACCAAGCAAGCGTCCTCGACATTGAGAAACACCCACACTGTCAGATCAGGGTTGTTTATGAGACAGCTGCAGAGGGGAAAGGCCAAAACTCCGAAAATCCTCTGCTAATTATACTCTCAACAACACCAGCTATATCCTTAGGCTATTCTTATTTAATAGCTTTGTATCTATTGTTGCCATACAGTGGCTAAAGAAGTAGCCTTCTCATATCCTGTATTTAAGTAAAAGTAAACTACCAATACAACATTGTAATAGTAAAAGTAACGAAGCAAAAGTTCTAAAGATATAACTTTTCTAAATGCACAGTAGCCAATCATCAGCTAGATGTAGCGTAATTAAATCTAAAGTTAAATTATCTTTTAATATGTTGCATGTTAGCAGTCCTGGAAAGTCACTAAGTACATTTACTTAAGCAACCTACTGTAGCCTATTCAAGTATAATTCCAGGTACTTGAGAGTTCCATGTTATAATACTTAATACTTTACTCCACTTATTCCAACTACACGAAAATATCGTACTCACTCATCCGCATGTATTAGTGTAGTGTCTATGATGTTAAGTAACTAAGTTAATTTACTCAAGTACTGTACTTTCTTCAACTTTGCAGTGGTTGAAGAAGTAGCCTATTAAGTAAAAGTAGACTACTAAATAGGTCTTAACTTAAAGAGCCTGTGACACGAGTTTCTCCCATCATCCAAGTAGAAAAAAAGTAGTAAAGTAGAAGTACCAGAGTGCAGGAATATTCTGTTACAAGTAAGAGTCTGCCTTCAGAATGTTACTCAAGTTAAAGTACAAAGCATCAAAATTAAAGTAGCGACAGTAAAAGTAGTCATTGTGCAGATTGGTCCATTTCAGAATAATATATTTGATATGTTTTATAATGATTGATCATGAAAGTGTTCTCAAAGCTGGTAAAGGTGCAGCTAGTTTGAATGACTTTGTATACTGCAGGGTAGCTTGTGGATTTACTCCAGGTGGAACTAAAGTCTGATTTAACACTTGATTATATTTCACATTCATTCATCCAGATCTGTAAAGTAACTATTAAATACGTGTAATGGAGTAGAAGTACACAATAGCATAAATGGAATGGAAATACTCAAGTAAAGTACAATTACCTCCAAATTGTACTTAAGTAAAAGTACCTGAGTAAATGTACTTCCTACCTCTGAATTTACTGATATAATGTGATCATTTAATTTTCATTATTTTCAAATTCACGGTGTAGATATTTTAATAGCTAGTGATACCTGGATACTAAAACTAATTTATAAAACAATGAAACGAGTTTGTGTGATTCAACCCTTTTAGTTTTTTGTATTTAGCTATACATAACTCTAACCTTATAACAGATAAAGTATGCAATATTCCATCATGATATTGGTTGAAAAAAACACATTTAGATTTTGCATGTTTTGAATAATATTTAAAAACATGTGTCCGTGAGAGCCAACCCCTTTGTATTCATTTAAAAATAACAACAAATCATTCTGAATCAATCAACCAATCAGTGCGTCTTTGTGCAGAAGTTGTATCAAGTTAATGGGTATTTATACTTCTTCCTTTATTCAGCGGTATTTTAGGCTACAACGAGTCAGAATGCATTCTCGGGTTTCATTAAAAACCTTACTTTACTTCTGTCCATTTTTAACTTGCATCAAGACATTCATATGTGTCCTAATACACTTGTGTCACTTTCGCTGTTGATTTATTGTTTTATAGGAAGACACCTGCAAAAACCCAGATAGACTTTATGATGAGGGGGAGAAGAGTATCATCGGGGAACAGCTGGATAAACACAGTCTACAGCACGATAGGGAAACACCACCTGTACCAGTGCTGAGAAGAATTTCTGAGTTCAGGGATATTGAAGTCCACCAGCGAACCCACAGTGGGAAAAGCCTTTCATTCTGTGACCAGTGTGGGAAGAGCTTAGCCGGTCAGGCTATTGAAGGTCCACCAGCGAACCCACACTGGAGGAAAAACCTTACACTGTCACGAATGTGAGAAGAGCTTTACCCACTCAAGCTATTGAAGGTCCATCAGCGAACCCATACTGGAGAAAAACCTTTCAAACCTGTGACAGTGT